TGTGTGTGTGTGTGTGTGATTAAAATACATCATGTACATGTATGGAGATGTCATGGAACCCATTATTATACACAATTAATCTAAGGTAATAAACACACTAGAAATAAAGACCAGAGTCAAATATGGAAACATGTAGATGAGGTGGCAGTCGCTGCTGGCAAACTGCCAAAACTCCGTTTCACACAGTAAGAAGCAACTACATAGGACCAAGGATGTGGGGAGCTCGAGCTCAGAGAAGGCAATGCAATGACAGTCCCGCGCAAACATGACCGAAGTCCAGCCTCTTTCCGTGGGTACTCTTAAAGTGAAAGTGTTTGGCCTGCATGTAAGTGTACCATACACCTGCAGTCTCTGAGGGGCTAGAAGAGGCTGTTGGATTCCCTGGGACTGTTACAGGGCGTGAACTGCAGTGTTGGTGCTGAGAACCAAATCCAGGTCCTGAGAACATCGAGTCCTCTAAATCACTGAGCCGTCATTCCAGCTCCAACTCCTGTGTGTGTGCGCGCATGCATATATATCCCGGCATATGTATGGAGATCAGTTCTATCATGTGGATCCAATGATCAAGCTTCAGGTTAATCATTAATCAAGTCTTTGTTAATCACATCCATAAATTCAATTAGGTTGAGCCTCAAAACCAGGGCATTTACCCATTATATACAAATGCTAGAGCAAGAACATTCAAGGTCAAGTGTGATGACACACCTGTCATCTCAGCTCTTGGGAGGTGGTGGTAGGACTAGGAGTTCAAGGCCAGTTTCAGCTATGTGGTAAGCTGAAAGCCCGCTGGGCTCTGTGAGACACCATGGATCTCTGTGAGTTCGAGGCCAGCCTGGTCTACAAAGTGAGTTCCAGGAAAGGCGCAAAGCTACACAGAGAAACCCTGTCTCGAAAAACCAAAACAAAACAAAAACAACAAAAAAAAAAGAAGTGACTGTGGATCCCATGGTAGTTCCATGGATCCCATTCAAGCAGGTGTTGCTTGACTATCAGTTGTTAGAAATTTCTGCTGTAACATGGCCGATATTAGCCTGAATGAAACTCAGGCTCTACAAAACTATTCACTGAAAATGTCGGGCTCTAGGGGAATGGACATGATTGAAGTGAACCTGATCTGGGTCCTGAGACACACAGATAGAGGAGGAAGTCTCACTTGCCTCCAGCCAGCTTTGTAAAGACCTTGATCAGGACAATGGCATACATGATGTAATGGTGTGCTGGGTTTCATTTTTTCCCCACCTACCTCAAATACTAAACTGTCTAGTAAAACTATCTATACTAACACAGCTCTGTTCAGTCCAGACTAATAAAGTGCATGCTCAGCAGCCTCCATTTCTCAAATGCTGTAGTGCAGCCCAGGCCTGAGTTCCAAACATAAGCTACTTTTAGAAAAAAAAATTGCAATTAGAAGTTACCCCAGGCCACCAGCCTTGTCATCACGGGGACTGTTGACCAAGATGGAGTCTCATCCAGCAAGAGGACTGCTTTTTCTTTGGTGCTAGGGGTCTTGCAGTCTTAGCATAGCTGTCATCAAGCCAGAGTCCCAGCCAAAAGAAGCAAGCGCTTCATCTGTCTTATCAGCAACAGGGGCCAATGCATTAGCAGAAGGGCTGGGGGAGCAGTACAGGCAGCCTCAGTGAGGATACTGCAAACCAGACTCCAATCCAGCATGGGATGAAACTGAATTTAAGCCTAGGGCTCAGCAGAAGCCACGGTCCCCTCCATTCTCCCCAGCAAGACCCTTGGGAGCCACAGTTCCTCTGTACCTCAGGTATCTGGTACATGCCTTACAAGAATAGTTATCAGCCATCAATGAATGGCATCCAGAGACTATTTAATATGCTGTTCACATTCACAATTACCAAAGGAGTTTGCAAACTGTAACAAGGGGCTGGGAGGACGGTTCAGTGGGTAAGAATGCTTGCTATGCAAGCTTCAGTACCTGTGTTCAAATCCCCACCACCCAGGTAAAAAGCTGGGTCGGTCCAAATGCATGCCCACCACCCTAGTACTGTAGGGTAGATAGGACTGCTGGAACCGGCTGGCTGCCAGCCTAGCTCCTGGCTCAGAGAGAGACATTGCTCTCAAGGGAACAAGGCAGAGTAGGGAAACCAAGGAACTGATATTTATCAATAAAAATCTTTCCCAGAGAAGAAATACAGTTAAGATAACTAGATGATAAGAAAAGTGCGCCTTAACCTGCTCCACAGAGAAGCCATGACCCTGTGCTCTGTCCCACAGGCTGCAAGACTATTCTACTTATGCTGTAGCACCAAGGATTAGTCTCACTCCTACTTAGAATTTTTCAAATCACTTTAAACTTACTTGTTAGATGCTCGTGTGTTTAACTAAAAAGGTCAAAGGATATGCCCATTTGTCTAGTTCTAAAGCCTGCCTGCCTTTACAAAGAATCTGTAACATTTCTTAATCGGAAGTCATGTTTACTCAGAAAAACCACCCTCCCTGTACCTGTAGTTTGCACACACAGCCATCAGACAGGAGAGAGCCTCTGCTGAGGAAATGTCTCTGTGGGATACAGCTGTGAGGCATTTTCTCAATTAGCCCTCAATGGGGAAGACCCAGTCCAAGGTGGGTGGTGCCATCCCTGGGCTGAGTTCTCTAAGAAAGCAGGCTGAGCCAGGGGAAGCAAGTCAGTAAGCAGCTCTTCTCCATGGCCTCTGCATCAGCTCCTGCCTCCGGGAATCTGCTCTTTGAGTTCCTGTCCTGACTTCCTTCAATGATGAACAGCAATACAGAAGTGTAAGACAAATAAACCCTTTCCTTCTCAACTTGCTTTTTGGCCAATGGTGTTTTGTCGAAGCAATAGAAACCCTAATTAAGACACTCCTCAACTTCCAACTTGAACAGGTCCTTACACCTCACTGCAAACACACAAGAACAGACAATTTGGCAGCACAGAAAGTGGCCTTTATTTTACCATTTGTAGAAAAC